TCCTCTGGGTAACTACCAAGGAGTGTAATTGGTGAATGGAATGGTTAGAGTATGTTTAGTTTTTTAAGATGCAGCCAAACTGTCTTCCAAAGGGGCTGCACCAGTGTTGCCTTCCCACCAGCAGTGAAGGAGATGTTGCTCTGCATCCTCGCCAACACTTGGTGGTGTCAGTATTCTGGATTTTGGCCATTTTAGGAGGCATCCTGCAACATCTCGTTGTTTTAATTTGCATTTTCCTGATGATATATGATGGGGATCACCATTTCATATGCTTATTTGCCATCTGTGTATCTTCTTTGATGAGATGGCTGTCAAGGTCTTTGACTAGTTTTTAAAATGGGGTTGTTTGTTTTCTTACTGTTGAGTTTTTAAGAGTTCTTTGCATATTTTCATGCAAACAGTCTTTATCTGTTATGCCTTTTGCAAATGTTTTCTCCCAGACTGTGGCTTGTCTCCTGACTCTCTTGACATTGTCTGTCACACAGCAGAAGTTTTTAATTTTGATTCTGTCACCAACCCACATGAGCCTGGAACAGAAGTTTGATTTAGTTGCCAGATGGATACTAGTTTCAGCCTTAGGGTTCCCTGAGCAGAGAGGCCAGCCCTACTGTGGCAGACTTCTGACCTACAGAACTGTAGGCTAACAAATGGGTATTGTTTAAGCCACAGTTTGTTATATTTTGCTACACGGCTACAGAAACTAATAGAGAATGGAAACTGGACCAGATGAGGGAGAGAGGGCTGGAGACCATATCTGTTTACCTGTATCATCGCCCTGTCAGCCCAGAGCTTGGCCCAAACATTCTCTACCAAGCGGCTGGTTAGGGGATCTTAGGCATCTGAGTTCAGTGCCCCCAGGTCACTGCCAGAGGGCCTCCCAGCATCTCTGAATCAAGAAATCCTGGTGAGGGAAAAATCAGGGCAGGAAGAGCACATAGTCTTTCCTTCCTCCTTTTTACACGTGGGGACTTTCAGCAGAGCCTGATGCTTTTGAGCGAAAGGAGCTGGTTTCACACCTCCTTTGGAAGCCCAGCTCCACCACTCCCAGCTCTATAACCTTGGACGAGTTCTGTCAGTGCTCTGTGCCTCAGTTTCCCTGTCTGTACAGTGGGGATGGGATGCTTTAGACATAGGCAGATGAGAGAAAAGTATTTTAGGCGAGGAAGAGAGTGGGCAGAGGGTGGAGGCTGGTCTTGGGTGGCAGGTGGGCCAAGTTGTAGGTGCCAGGCAAGTTTGGGCCCTAAGGAACGGGGTTTTAGCCAGAGCAGCCTCTCAGGAGGCTGGTGACGAAGGCCTGTCACAGCAGCCCAGGTTCTGAATGGCGAAGTTCTTGGTGGTGGCAGTGGGGAGGGGCTGGTCTGAGGGACGCTGAGGGTGTAGAATAGACAAGACCTAAAAGACCTAAAGGATGCCCGAGTGCCTGAGTGGTCTGGGGGAACAGACTGACAGCTCCTCTGTGAACTCAGCCGTGAGGAAGGGGAGCACTCAGGGGTGGTCCCCAGACTTCTGGCCTGGGGAAATGAGTGAGTGGGGATGCCAAGCTGGGCAGTGGGAGTGAGGAGGGAAGGATAGGGTGGTGGGCAGAGCAGGGAGGCCACAGTTGACTTTGGACAAGATGAGCATGCGGTGCAGGGTCTCCAGGCAGAGCCTATCTTCAGGGGCCGGATGATCTGGCCTGGAGCTGGGAGAGAAGACTGGGCTGGCGACAGACCCGATGGCCCATTTGTGTGCAGATGAAAATTGAGGCTGCAAGGCAGGCGATCTCCCAGGGCTCTGTGAGGAGAAGCGGGCTCAGGGCAGCCCTGGGGAAGACGGACTGCAGAGCCGTAGCAGAGGAGAAGCAGCAGCCAGGGAGGCAGGGGCAAGTCCAGACAGGAGTTAGTCATGGGAGGTGTCGAGGGAAGAAAGTACTTAGAGGAGGGAAGAGACACTGACAGAGTGCTGCAGCGAGAAAAGGAAGGGAAGGGGCTGCTGGGTCCACGAGGGGGCCCTGGAGGGCTTTGATCAGAGCAGCCTCCATACCGGGGAGGAAGCCACGCCAGGCTCTGGAGGGCTAAGGGCTGGTTCGGTTGTCTAGACCAGGGAGAGAGGATTCTAGTAAATAACTCCCCCAGTCCTCACGGATCTTACTGGTCAGATGGGAATCAATATAGGAGTCAGGGCTGCTTTTAAAACCCAAACCAATCAGACGTCACAAAAGCACCCTGTAAACTGAGGTATGGGTGCATTCTTCCAAAGGCATGTGGGGAAATGGAACATTGTAAGTGGTTGGCAGTACCCCCAGTGACCAGAAGGTGGCAGCACCTCATCAATTGACAGTTCATTTCACAAGTCCAAGTCCTGCATTTCATCATATCATTTATTTATTCTGCAAGAATTTTTTTTCCCACAACTACTATGTACTGGATTCTGGGCCAACACTGAAGAATCTATGTAGATGATCTCACAGAGCTTGCATTTTAGTCAAAGAATCAGATTACACAGATAAGTGAATTATCCTGATAACTGATCATCTCTCTCTATCAGCAAAGCTTTATGTTCTCCAAGTTGCAGGATAAACTTTCTAGAATGTGTGACATGTATTCCTTCCTCTTTGAACAATAGGTGCTGAGCAGAACTTGAGTTCATATACTGGGTCCTCTCCTCTGCGATGTGTTTATTTATGGGAGAGATTGAACATATTTTCCAAAGACGATCGGTCCATTGTCTCCCATCCCATGTGTAAACTCATTATACCCTAAATGTGGCATTCCTCCAGTTGAGAAGAAGCAGTCTCTGTGTCATCCCCTAGTGGAAGGGTACATTATGACTTCTGAGGCTGGGTCATAAAAGACAATCCAGCTTCCACCTTTATCTCTTTTCCTGCCTTGCTTCTGAACTTAGTCTGGAAGGGTCAGAACACTTGCTGGGCAGGCAGGGGAGTGAGGTGGAGGGTCCCGGCAGGCTGCCCTGGCTCAGCTTGGAAACTAAGTGGAAAGGAAGGTGTGGCTGGCTTCTTCACTATTCCTTCCCCTTGCTTTCAGTCCTCTTTACCCTTCACCCATTCATGATGTCAGCCCAGCCTCATTTAGGGTGAGGGGAGGAGAGGGAGGAGAGATAAAGGGGCAGAAAAGGTGTTGGTGGTGCCCTCTGGGGGTCTGTGAGATGCCTAGATGCTGCCTCTTCCTCTTGTGGGTGGCTCAGCATCGGAGATGCTGAGGGCGCACCGTTCCCTGACCACGGTGACCCTTTGTGACATGTCCCCACCTGCCCTGCTAGTGGTGGGGCTCGCAGTGGACCTTAGCGGCCTCCTCACACGTGCACCCCAGTCAGCTCCAGGGAACTCAGGCCATGCTTCCTTGAAGCCTCTCTGTCAGATTTGAGGCAGGAGGAAGAAAAACCCTTTCCTTTAAGAAACCATCTTTCCAGTTTCACTCCTGGTCCCAGGCCCCCACCTGGTAGCAGGTGATGGGCTAAAGGTCAGGAACCAGTTTGGTTGCCATTTTTCTGCACATCTTACACTTCCCTCCTGACTGTGGGGCACTTGTTTCCCTCACCTCTGCTGCTTTGCCCAAAATCTGTGAGATAGAAAATGCCATTTGAAAAATTCTTTTACATGAAGAATAGTTTTGCACCTGTAGAGATTCAAAATGCACCTCAATCACAGTGAAGATGATTTTAAAATAATCTTTTATTTTAGTATGTTTATGTTATTTTATTTGCATTGTATTTATATATTCATTTATTTTATATATGGTTTTAGCTTAAGCTGAAAACATCTGAACAAGCAGCCACCACAGGGATAAACTTTATCTCAAGTTCTTTGGTAGATTTAAGCAGGACCTCCTAGAAAATACAGTTGCTGTAAGTCCTCTCTGGCAGGTTTACGGCCAGAAAGGAGACTAACCACTGTCACGAGGATGAGTAATTGCTTAAACAAACTTTATCTGAAGCTGTCCTGCCTTCCATTTATTCTTCCACAGAAACCCTTTTTCCTCGTTAAGTACATTGATAAACCTTTATCTTTGGATGTCCAGGGAGCCAGTTCATCTGTAGCCTCCTTGGTAAATAAACTTTGTCTTCTTTCCTATTAATATGACTGTTGTTAGTTAACTCACAGGCCTCCAACCACTGAACCTAACTTGGTAGGTTGGTGGAGGGCAATTTTTTCCTCCTAGCGCATCATTCTTCTTTTCTCTGTCTCTGTCTTTTTTTTTCTTTTTTGCTGCACTATACAGCCTGTGGGATCGTAGATCCCCAACCAGGGATGGAAGGGATGGAACCTGACCCCTCGGTCGTGAAATTGCAGTGGAGTCCTAACCACTGAGCTACCAGGAAATTCCAAGCAGCACATTCTTCTTTTGGCCACAAGAGTATGGGTGACTGTTGAAGATTTCCTTTCTGGTCCTGGAAGGCATTCTCCCGCTTGGCCATTGTCACTGTATAGCGTAGGCTTCACTCCTCTCTCTCATGCATGTTAATTGGATTAAAAGAAGGGATGGAAAAAAGAGAACATAAAAGAAAGGATACTGCTAAATTTATTACTTATCAATAGAAATCACTGTACTTCCGGTTTAGTCACCTACAGTAAAGGGCTGATGTGTTCTGGGAACAGCCACACAAAAGGAGTGCTTTCTTAATGGCCAAGGAGAGTGGGTGAATGACCTTGTTTTTATTCAGTCCTGTGTAATTGCATTTGAGTGGGATGTAAAATGTTACCACGTGGCTGAGTACCAGTGACTGGACCCCCCCCAAAAAAAATCACCATCTTCTATATTAGTCAGCTGGGCTGCCATAATGAAATACCATGGACCAGGTGATTTAGACAACAAGAATTTATTTCTCTAGGTTCCAGAGGATGGATGTCTTAAGATTAAGGAACCTGCTGATTCGGTTTTTCTTTGGTGAAAGCTGCTTCCTAGGTTGCAGACCTAGGTGAAAAGGTTGTCAGCCTTCTCACCGTGTCCTCACTTGGTGAAGGGGAGAGTGAGCGAGCTTGGGTCTCCCCAGCTCTTCTTATAGGAACACTAATCCTATCAATAGGATTACGAAGGTCCTATCCTCATGACCTCATCTAAACCTAATCACCTCCGGATACCATCAGGTTGGGGTTAGGTCTTCAACATACAAATTTGGGGAGACAGGAATATTAGAGTATAACAACTTCTCTACCAAGAAAAGCTAACCAGTCAAAAAGTATTATAATGAATCCACTGCAAAATGTTTGTGTTGAAATGTGTCATTTCTGGTTTTCTTCCTGCTGTCTTTTGTTGACTCTTGATAGCATCAAACCCACCTTCTCATTCTGCTCCTGCCAGAAACTCAACCCATCCTCCCTGGGACTTACATGTTGAGTGCTCAGATTGAAGAATCATGTGTAGAAAAAATTCTGTATTTCAGTAGATAACTGCACCATCTGCAATACACCTCTCTGGGTCTTCAGGTTCTAGCCCTGTTTAGTTTTGTCCCCATTTGCAATTCATCTCAACATTCCTTTACTATATAAATTTGTGCTGTGTTGAGCTTTCCTTAGATTCGGTTATAACATCTGCCTGGTTTTCTCAGATCATATGAGTAAAATGAATTCCTCATCACACGTTCATTTTTATTTCTGTAAAGAGAGTCATGGTTTTGCCTTCTTCTGAAAAGTATCTTTTAACACAGGGAAGCCTCTGTGGGGAGAAATCATCAGGACTCAGCTTCCAAAGAACCAACTAAATCTTTGAGCCTGTGTCTTGCTGATCTCGGTTCCTGACCAGCCATTCTTCCAGATATTCCAGCCCCCAAACATTGAGGTCATTCTCCACTTTTCTTTTCCTGGCACCCACCACGTCCTCCCCTGTGGTAGACTTCACAGTGACCCTCTGAAGATGTCCACGTTGTAATCCTGGAACTTGTGAACGTGTTCTCTTACATGGCAAAAGGGACTTTGCAGATGTGATTGAAGTCAGGATTCTGAGGCGGGGAGATTATCCTAGATTATTGAAGTGGCTCCAGTATAACACCAGGAGGATCAAAGTCAGACAAGGGAGATGTGAGGTTGGGAGAAGTTGGAGTGATATGCTTTGAAGATGGAGGAAGGGGCCACAAACCAGAGAACCCAGGCAGCCTCTCGGAGTTGGAAGAGGCCAGGGAGCAGACTCACACGCAGTGCCTCCAGAAGGAAGAGGCCCTCACAGCATCTGGACTTCAGCCCTCAGAGACTCTTTCCAGACTTCTGACCTGCAGACCTGTAAGGGAACAAATCTGTGTTAAGTCAGTAAACTTGTGTTGATTTGTTATACAAGCAATAGGAAATGAATGCAAACACCATAGCAAATTATGTTTGCTTTATTTTCAAAATACAGCCAAGATTGACCACTTCCCAATTGTGCCACTGGCATCCCGGGTCAAGCCAGTTCCGTCCCTGGCCTGGATTGATTCTAAGGCCTGCTTTCTGTTTTCCCTGTGACTGGCCCTCCAGCCTTTTCTGCCCTCTAGATACAGAATATGAGATTTCTATGTGCTGCCCTCTGGTGTTCACCCTTGGCATTGTCTTTCTCTGATGCTTTAATGACTTCCACTGATGCTGCTGCTGCTGCTAAGTCGCTTCAGTCGTGTCCGACTCTGTGAGACCCCATAGACGGCAGCCCACCAGGCTCCCCCATCCCTGGGATTCTCCAGGCAAGAATGTTGGAGTGGGTTGCCATTTCTTTCTCCAGCGCATGAAAGTGAAAATTGAAAGTGAAGTCGCTCAGTCGTGTCTGACTCTTAGCAAACTCATGGACTGCAGCCTACCAGGCTCCTCCGTCCATGGGATTTTCCAGGCAAGAGTACTGGAGTGAGTTGCCATTCCCTTCTCCAGGGGATCTTCCTCATCCAGGGATCAAACTCTGGTCTCCTGCGTTACAGGTGGATTCTTTACCCTCTGAGCCACCAGGGATGCCCATAATGACTGATATATTCTTGCTAAAGTCCTGATACATTGTACCAGTCAGGTGCAACGTATCTCTCTCCTTCCACATATCATCCCAGTTCACCACCAGTGACAGTACTTTTTAAGGATCAAGGAGGTTTATCAGCCCACAGCAAGATACAAAATGATCAATGATGATTACAACCATATTCTGTCAGGCAAGTGCCACTTTGCACTGTGACGGTATCCCACAGGACATCCCTGGTTCCCCAGGGACAGCTTTGCATTTGCATTGCTGCAGCTTGCCAGGGGCTATGCATCCATAATTTCCAACCGGCAATGGGATTCTCACTGCCAGCCTGCTGAAAGATAATTAACCCCCGGGATCCCATGTCCACAGTCTGCTTCCTCAGACGGCTCCTGATATCAGCTGTTGCAGGTCAGGTTCCCTGGGACTCAGGCTGTGAGAGGCAGACTTGCATGCAGGCAGTTTTGGGGGAGTGCTCATGGGAGCAGCGCCGTTAAGAGAGGGATGGGAGGAGATGACCTCCTGTGAGGAGTGGCGCTGACAGTTGAATTGCAGGGCAGTTGCCTCAAAGGCTGCAGCCGCTGCAGGGATCACAGCTGCCAGTCCTGTGAGGCGTGCCAGAGCTGGGGTGGCTTTTCCGAGTTGTCTGCACGTGAGGCAAGAGGGGCCTTTACGCCCCTACATTGGTGAGTCATTGGATGTGGTTGGCACCAGGAAGAGGGTGCCACCTTGGGCAAGGTGGTTTTCTTCAGCCCTGAGCAGCCCTTAAAGGAGGACTCACCTGAGGGCTTTCAGCCACCAACATCCTTGACAGCTGGGTGAATGAGTTCTGACAGGGCTGAAGGGGCAGGACTGGATGCCATCTATCACAGAGACTAATAAAAGCTGTATCAGATTTTATCACTGCCCTGCTTAAATCCCTCCAGTAACTTACAATTCATGTGTAATATGCCCCAGATTTCCTGGCCACCAGTAACCTCTGACATTAACCATGCTCTTGGGCTCAACATGCTGTCACTTTAGCATTCTTTGTATTTATCCACCCAACAAGTATCTTTTGAATATTTACTATGGGTTAAACAATGTTCTAAATCAGGGGTGTGCAAACTATGGCCCACAGGCCAAATTATGCAGCTTCTTATTTCTATAAAAAACAGTTTTATTGAAACACAGCCACATGTATTTGTTTAAATATTATCTATAGCTACATTTTTGCTACTGTGGTAGAGCTGAACAGAGGCCATATCGCCACAAAGCCTAGAATATTTACTACTTGATACTTTACAAAAAAAAATATTTGCTGATATGTCTTCTATATCTATACAAATATATATATCAAATAATAAAATGTATTCTTCCTTCTCTTTCTCTTCTGTCTCTCTCTGTATATGTACACACCCAAAGTGAGACTCAGATTGCAACCACATATATAATTCGATAAGTTTTCTAGCTACATTAAATAAGTTTGCAAAATAGAAACAGGTGAAATAAATTTTAATAGTATATTTTATGTAATCCAATATGTCCCAAATATATTTTAACTTAGAACCAACCTAATAAAATACTGATGAAATTCTTTCCATGCTTTTTTAAATGTGATGGCTTTAAAGGTCAGTGTGTAGTTTACCCTTAATCTGGACTAGTGGCTGGTCAGGTACTCACTTGCCATGTGTAGCTAGTGGTTCCTATATTGGAGGGCGCAGTTCTGGAAGCAGGTGATGCAGCAGTGAATGAAGCAGACCAAATTGCCACCTTACATTCTTAATAGAGAGGAGAGACAATAAAATAATCAGGTAAAATAAATTTTATGCCTGATGGTGAAGAGTGGTAATGTGGATTCTTGGAGCAGAAGTTGCGTGTTTAAATTGGAGAAGATCACAGTGAAAGAAGTATGTGGTAAAGAATTAACCTCACCAGGAGGGAGGTGGGAGGGGGGCTCAGGATGGGGAATACATGTATACCCTTGGCTGATTCATGTCAATGTATGGCAAAAACCACGACAATATTGTAAGGTAATTAGCCTCCAATTAAATAAATTAAAAAATAAAAAAAGAATTAACCTCACCAAAGGCGACTCTGGCCTTTGGTTGATGTCTTTGCGGGCTGTCTTAACAGTGTGACTTGTGATGGGGGTTTGGGGTCATGCTGTGACAGTTCTGCCTCCAGAGGAGCTGGAGACTAAAGGTGTTAGCCACCCTCTGGGAGGGGCTGGGGGTTGCAGGTCAGTGACACGGCCAGCATGTGACCCAAACCCTGTGAATACTCGGCACCGGTGCTCTGCGTGTTGCCGCATTCTGTGACTGGGAGGAGGTCACACGTCGTCCACGGCTCCACAGAGAGAACAAGGAGCATCTCTTTGGACCCCTCGTGGGCTCTGCCCTGTGCATTCCCCTGGCTGATTTCGTTTGTATCCCTTTCCTGTGATAAACCCTTCTCCGGGGGAGCTTCCCAACCCAGGGACTGAACCCAGGTCTCCCACATTGCAGGCGGATTCTTTACCAGCTGAGCTACCATGGAAGCACCATAATAAACCCTAACCATGATTATACCTGCTTCCTCTGAGTTCTGTGAGTCCTTCTGGCAAACTGTTGAGGTGGTTTGGGGTGACCCTGAACTTGCAGTTGTTGAAGGAAGTGAGGTGCTGTCTTGGGGTACTGTTCTAACTGTGCAGTTGGTCCTAAATGCCTTATGGACAGTGACGTCTGAGTGAGGACCTGAAAGAAGTGAGGGGCCGGTGGGAGGCGGGGGCTGACAGGGTGGGCAGCAGGGAGAGTGGAAGGAGGTTCCTTCTTTACTTACTATTTTTTTTTCTTTTTTTATTCTTTAAATTATGTAAGTGCAATAACACATTGACAGGAGACTTAGAAAATACAGAACAAAGTTATATACAGTTCTACTCTATATTACAATTTTTTAAGTAGATAAATTTTTAGTTGGAGTTTCAATATCAAACTCTCAAAAATTAATAGAATGAACAGAAAAGTAGAAGGATATAGTAGACCTGAAAAGCACAATGAACCAATTCAGCATAATTAAGATTTATACAATTTTCACACAGCAGCAGGATACAAATCTTTTTCAAGTTCCCATAGACTATAAAGCAAGAGACAGTAGACCATATCCAGGGATGTAAAACAAGATGCCAAAATTTCATGGTCTAAATGTATTAAATATAGAATCTGTTCTCCTGTCACTGTGGAATTCTGTTAGAAATCAATATCAAAAGATATTTGAAAATAACCCACATATTTTCAAGTCCAGTGTGACTTTTACCAAGAGAGATCTTTGACGTAGCCATTGAAAGCCTCAATAGTGTTAAAATACTGAAAAAAAGACCACAGAAGGTGATTGCAGAGAAGAAAATATTTGAAAGAGAAATTAATATCAAAATGAGAAATTAATATCAAGGATACTTAAAAAAAAAAACCATGTGTTTGGAATGTGCACTTTTAAATGATGGGTATATCTAAGAAACCATAATGAGGAAAATTTGAAAATATTTGTAACAGAATAAAAATGGTAAGTCTACTCACTATTTTGATAAGCCACTGCATGAGTCCCCAGATCTCCTGTTTTAAAGGTTCAGCGTTGGGATTAAGGCTTCGGTTAAGATTTAGGTTAAATTAGGGTGTTGGGATTCGGGTGAGTTGTGGTGCTTTGTTTCGTTTAGTCTAGGATTGGAGTTGCAAATACAACTGGGGTTTAGGCTTCAGCGTTTAGTATTCTGTGTTAGGATATTTACGGTTATAGTAAAGATTAGTGCTCTGATGGAGCGTAGCTCTTGGAATTCTACGTGGCCAGTGACATTTAAGTTCCTGGGGTGTGTGTTTGTATGAATTCTACTAAACAGCCAGGATAGATACACCCTCTTTTAATTTAATAATAGAAGTCAGCTGAGCATTGTTTTAGAGCTAGGATGAAGAAAACGTGCAACTTTGCAAATTATACCTTATAAATCAGCCCAGTGAAAAATAAAATGAGGCAAACATCTACAATAAAGAGGTATTTATGTATGGAACAATGATGAACAGGGCAACTGGTTGTAAATAGTTAAGTCTAAATGCTTTTGATAGTTTGAAAAAGGAAGAAGTTTGGCGTAAAAAAAAACAGAATATGAAAGTAAGCATACATATTTTTCCAACACATGAAGCCATGTGGGAAAAGAAAGGGGAGAAGTTGAAGTTGCAGTGTTTAGAAGTTTGACGGTTTGAGAGGTAAACAGTAAGTAGTTGTTTATACGAAAAGAATTTTAAGAGTGATAAACGCACAGACACTCAAACCTAAGGAAAGGTGTACAGCTAGGAGGAATTAAAAGTAAGCCTTATGCGAGTTCCCTGATGGCCTAATGCTTAGGATTGTAGACTTTTCCTGCCTTGGCTGGCCAGAGAATTGAGATCCTGTAAGCCGAGAGGGGCAGCCAAAAGGAAACAAAAACAAGTAAACCTCTGTCCTAGAACCTTCTCTGCGTATTCCTTTGTTGGAGCACATCCTCAGGATAATGAAGGGTGTGTTTGTTCTACCTTCATGCTGCGTTGGTAATTGGGCTGGGTCAGGAATTCTAGAACTTTGAAAGTTCAGTTTTTGTCTTCTGGCCCTTGGGGTTGCTGATGACTTTCTGATTCTGTTTCCTTTGCAGGAACAACTTTGACTGCTGTTACCGTTTATTTTTTCATACGAAAGCCTCTTCATTCATGGTTCTGAAACGTGACCACGAGAAGTGCCTGGTTGTGGACCTTTTTTCATTTAGTCAAGTTAGCTCTGGAGGATGCTTTCCATTGGAAGAGGGGTGTCTTCAGGCACCTCTGTTAATTAATTCAGCCCCTCATTTCAAGTTTGAACAGACAACATTTTGCAGATGTTTCTGCAAAATCAACAGCAAAATTAAGAAGGGCCAAGATGAACAAACAAGGGGAAAAAAATCCAGATATAATTCAGGGAACTGAAAGTGCTGACTGGTCCCCTCTCAGGCCATGTGCCTACTGAAACCCCAAGTGAATGCTGGTCAGAGATCATCCTTCTTTTCTCTCTCCCACTCATGCCCTCCCTCCCCTGGATGATGATTTTTTGGTCTCTACCTCTCTTTTTGGACCTTGAGTTGGCCTCCCCCACCTTCCCCCTCAGCTGATTACCTTGACTTACCCGAGAATTAGAAGATTTAGATGAGAATTCTCAGAAATTCCCACCACCCAAACTACCCAGTTACCTGAACCATTGCCTACACATTCTGTCTTCCTTCCTATTGTATGTGGAGTAACTGTCCCTACTCTTAGCTAAGCCCAGCTCCTTCCCCTCGCTGTGTAGTTAACCTTCTTGAAAATCTTATCTACACTTGTTGCCCCCATTTCTTTATCTCCCATCCTCTCTCTATCACAGTTTTGCCCCCATCATTCTACCAAAACAAATCTTGTCTTCAGGACTCAGTCCCTGAGCTTCTCTGTTTAATCTACACTCTTCATGAACTTTTATTTTTTTAGAGGCCATCTGTAGACACTATACAATATCTACACACCTAACTTCTCTCCTCTGATCGCTAGATGTGTGTATTTAAATGCCCATCTAACATCTCCTTTTGGATGTTACATAGACACCTCATGCTTAGTAAGTCCAAAACTGAGCTCCTGATTCCCATCCCGCCTCCAAATGGCTCCTCCCATAGTCTCCCTCCTTCCCCAGTGAATGATAATTCAGATCCTCTAGTATTCCAAGGACACAAGAATCCTCTTTTCCTCACATGGTAGATCTCATACATTCTATATTATATACCCATTACCTATCCAGAATGTGACGTCTGATAATCACCTCCTCCTGGCTCTTGCTATGTTTATTTCACACCTGGGCTTGCTGGAATAACCTCCTAACTAGAATATCTGGCTTTCTTGGTACTTTCCCAGCTTTTGGTTTTCAGTTTTTGTATTGAAAGTCCTGTCTCCGGAAACTCCCCAGCCCTGGGGTAAACCAGGATAGTTTTTCACCCTGCTTCTACCTAGGCTGCTTCTCCCACGGCCTCCCTGCAGTGTATTCCCAGCGGATCCAGGGTGATCCTTTTGAAAGGCAAAGCTTATCATGTGACGTCTCTGCTCAGAACCCTTCAGTGGCTCTCATACCACTCAGAAAAGCTGTTGCTTTCAGTGGCCTATTGTTGGCAGGGTCCACCGGCTTTTGTGAACAGAGATGGAGAGTTGATTTTGAGCAGGCTGATGTTGAGGTACCCATGAAATGCTCAATTAACAAGGTCCAGCACTGAAGGAAGGATTGAGAGCATATTTTGTTGGTAAAACAAGAACAGATGGTTATAGAAAAAGTTGCAGAAAAGAATTCTAGGAAATTACAAATATTAGTTAAATTGAAAAAAAATCTATAATAGGACTGAGAGATAAAATTGCAGAATCTCTCTCTGGGGATACTCATGATAAATAAAATTTGTTTATATATTATTTAAAATATAAAAAATATATAAATATATATTTGAAGCAGACGTTCCAGACTGTCCAGATCTTCTTTATGTATCTTTCCAAACCAAGGACAGTCCTCTGCATAACCAGCATACAACCCTCCAGATCAGGAAATCAGAAGTCAGCATTGGTGTGACACTGATATCTGACCCAAATGTTTCAGTCAAATTTCACCAATTGTCCCAACAAAGTCTTTTTTCTGTTTGGCCCCGGGATCACACTTTGCACTTAATAATTGTGTCTCTTTAGTCTCCTTAAACCCGGAACAGATGCTTAGTCTTTCCCTGTGTTCACAACGTTATAGTTTGAAGGAGTACAAGCTTTTCATTCTGTAGGCTAGAGCTCAGCCTGGTTTCATCAATGTTTCCTCAGGATGGGACTCAGACATGTGTTCTTGGGAGAAATATACAGAGATGACGCTGTCCTGTCCTCACTGCGTGGCATCAGAAGGCTCAGGACGTTGGCTGGTCACACAACTGGTAATATTAATCTCAATCTCTCGGTCAGTTTGGTGTGTTCAGGTTTATCCATGTTAAGTCATTATTTTCCTCTTCACAATTAATAATTATTTTGTAGAAAGATGCTCTCAAACTATGACAATATCGTGCATTTCATTAAACCCCATTAATTTGATTTGGTGTGTGTGTTAGTTGCTCAGTTGTGTCTGACTCTTTGAGACCCCATGGACTGTAGCCCACCAGGCTTCTCTGTCCGTGAAATTCTCCAGGCAAGAATACTGGAGTGCACTGTCATGCCCTCCTCTGGGGATCTTCCCCACCTAGGGATTGAACCNGTCATAAATTGTAGGCCTTCTCGTGTACAGAGGTGGAACATATATACATGTAAATGTGTGTGTGTGTGTGTGTGTGTGTGTGTGTGCCCTGACTACTACCGTAACTATTTCTAAATCTGTTTATATTTTAAAGGTCCATGAGTTTGCGCTGGTACCTCCATTCCATCAGTATCTCAAGGTTATTTTTAGCCTTTCCCCTTTCCTTTTATGTAACTTCCTTCTCTGTGAACAAGAAAGCCTTTTTTCCTTGTTTTCGGTGTCGTTATTTATGTGCTCGAGCTCTCTCTCTGCAGGCGATCTCTCTACCGTGTGGGTCACATCCTTGGCCCCCACACACCTTTGCTGCTACTTTTGTGGTCACTACCACCCCCAGGAGAAACGGAGGAGAGGGAAGGGAAAGGAAGAGAAAACGAACTTATTCAGGATGGAAGGAAGGAATAGCCTTTTTTTTTTTCAAGTTCTC